ACCACTCACTACACACATGCATACACCACTCACTACACACATGTATACACCACTCACTACACACATGTAGAATACACCAATCAGTTACACCTTTAGTATTGGTGAGCTTCTTTGTTATTTATGGCATATGATATCGATGAGTATGTTTATAATAGCACGCACTGGTGTTATAAAAGTATATAGTGCTGAAATAGTAACGTGCTTAAATAGTAACTCGACAGGAAGCCTCATTATTGGTTCCTGAAATAGAATGTATGGTACATGTATTATTAGTCTGAAACGTAAGCCAGCGTACGTGTGTATATATTTGCGCCCTCGCCGACCTAGGAGACACGTGTGAAGATAGTGCTATAGTATACCGGGCTTGTCCACTCGACTTCGATGGCGTGAGCTCTAAGTTAGGACGAAATATGCCTGCCGCTCCATCGCTGGTTGTCTCCTGGTCAAACTTGTCGGCGACGATGGTCACTTTGGCGTTAGGAAGGATGGACTGGACATTGACGGCTGTGGACAGTCCAACCACTCCGGCTCCAAGTATAACCACGTCAATAGGCATTGCCGTCCACGACCGTTCCTATGTACACAGCTATCGTCGAAGTACAGCTGGTATGATACAGATAAAACTTGCAGGCCAATTCGTCTGGATATCTGAGCTGTTCGGTAGGAAGCACACGAATTAAAACAACTCAAATAAAAGCATGCAACTTTAGTGTGTACACTGTACTTATCTTATACTTTATTTTCTAAAATGACGTATTATGCAAATGGTGTACTAGGAGATTAGATAAAGGATCGTGTTACGCAAACTGGTCTTACACATAGAATCAAAAGCACGACGTGCTCGCGCAATCTCTGCGATGAATATGTGTGCACTGATATTTTGGTACTCGGTATGAAAGCCGAGAGCCTTTCGCTGTTGTGACAATCATCCCAGCAGACATACGACGTTTATCTGGTTGAGACGTTGATAACTTTGAAATTATTAATTTGATTTTTATCAACCTTATTGACATTACTGAATTTTAACGTTGAATCACCGTCGATTCAACGACCTGTTTTCAATTGTTAATGATATCTTATATTTTATATATGGAAACATCACGATTAACGTTGCCCCTGACGGACGGACGGAAAGCTTGAAGGACGAATGAAGGGAATGACCATATTGCAGTGGGAGATCATAAACCAGGCTTACACAGCCGGCCTCTTTTCAGCTACCATTGTCTAGATTTAAACAATAGAAAATAGTGTGCGTGATGCACATTGGTTTGCATTATAGATACCTAAATAGCCTCATCGTTTGACTTCTAAATTTATACCAGAAAATGTAATACTTACATCACTTGCAAAGGTAGTTTTATTTCCCGTATGTCCTTTATATCTCAGACCGTCATTTCTAGTGTGTTTAAAAATATTTACGACTAAAGGTCCGGCAATTTTGCCCTAATTAGAATTTTGAAAAAGAAATTCAAAGCAATACACAAAAGAAAATGATCAGAAATAGCGTGATTGGTTAAATTTGGCTTCTGCCAATTATAACCAAAGGCTTTGAAAAAAATGTTCTTAACAAATGTGCACATTTTTAGAAATAATCAAACTCTAGCAAAAGATACAAAATTAGAGTGTAACGAGGTGATTGTACCGAGGTCCAATTCTCTGCGTATTCAATAGACAAGATTATCAACAGATGGAATTAAAAATCGTCTACATGATCAACATTTCCTACATATACAAACAGAAACACACATACCGCCGTACACGCCCATAAAAAGCTGGAAATGCATACACCATTACAAACACGCGTCATTTCCGGTATAAAATAATAGAAAAAAAGACATCTGAAAACAGTCTACTGTTATTGAACGTTAAATCTTATGTAAATATCAATATATTTTGATTATAAAGATACAGGGACCGTTGTGATTCCTTACAGCATCTTCCTACTCTTTTTCGGTTTAATTTGTTCACGTTGGTTTCATTATATTTTATTCAGAATCATGTTGCCTTGATGAGTTTTTTTTATACGTTTCCATGCTAAACGTTAGTCATCAGCTGATGCAATTCACTGCAGAACTTTGCTGAAACAAGTGGGATAACGACATCCTATACAATGGTCCTGCTCAGCGCCGTTCCCAGTGAGGGCACCTCATGCTGTTTGGTACTGTCCGTTCAGTACATCCCGGTACAGCTAATTGGCTCTGTGTCCCACTTTCGTTATCGCAACAACAAACCCCTCGTAAACAACTTTGAACTTATTAACGGCAAAATATCAAATAATGGTGAACAAAATGGCAAAATCAAGCCTCATATCCCTTTGCTTTGGGTGAGTTCTGGATAGAAACCTTATTTGGATAATTTTAACTGATTGCATTAATATTCTTAAGGACTTATGAATTTTACCTCGGGGTGATATTTTTTTCTTTTTTCTTTTTGCTTTAAATTCCTTTATTTGCTTTTAATAAGATCCTTTATGAATATTACAGCACTGGACATTTCTAGATCTGCGTTTAGTAAATTATGCATACAATTTATACAGCTCCGATACATGTATTCTCATTCTGTTTTCATTATTGATCCATTATGTTCGTTACTGAAAAAAAAATCATCACTTGACATTGGCGTTATAAATCAGAATATGATCAGAATTATTTCCCTACACTCGTATATAATTCATATGTATATTTTCCTCCGCCTAATCTGGGTTGTTATTGCAGTGTACTAGTGGAATGCCTGCAGATAGCCATGCAAGTCAAACTGTCCAGTGAATTAGATCGTGAGTGATCGGTTGGCCCAGAGTTTGGATCAATAATTCCGTCATGTTTCTACCATAATGTTGTACAGACCTGGAATCTAACATGGCGCCCTACAGAACACAGACATTTCAGTTCTTATGGCTTTAAATCATGCATAAATTCATAGTTCAACTGGACAGTTCTCTATGTACCATGGATTTAGGCTAAAAGGTCTTTTGGAATCAACTTTCTCATTTTTAGGACAATAACTGGATTGATCTGCCTGCTTGCTAGCCTTGCTTGGTTCATAGTAATGTGTTTTGATCACTGATACTGGGTTGTGTCTTTTTGTCAAGCGTCGATGTTCGAGAATGTAGCATCAGCAGCATGTCATCATTCGTGGTTGAAACAGTGTTACATGTGAATTCATATCGTAGTTGAGGTAAGGATGTGATAGATTATTTTAAGAAAGATTTTTTTATGTTACTATATATGTAACATTTGGTCATGAAAACATCTTTAAGGTAGCTGAAACGTTGTAATTAATTAGTGCATAGAGGTATTTTGTTAGTCCGGTTGAAAAGGTTTTGTTTCTTTGAAAAAAGCCTAGAAGTATCATTTTTCATTGTTTTGATGGTTACTACTGCTGTATCTCAGGAATTAATGTTTAGTTTGAGGATACGTTATCTGTTTCTAAAAAACAAAATGTGCAGGGGTGGAATTAGCTGCTGGTCCACCAGCCCGGCCCGTGGCCTTTTTTTTTCTCTTTTCTTTTTATGTTTATTTTTCAAAGATTTTACATAAATATGGCATATTCAAACACATACAAACGAACAAAAAACACATTGTTTTCTTCTAAGCCATCATCATCATCATCATCATCATCATCATCATCATCATCATCATCATTTTTTTACATTCCTTTACTGCTATTAAAGAAAACAACAGATACTGACACAAAATCTACACAGACATAGACAGGTAGAGAGATAGAGAGAAAGACAGACAGACACACACACAGACAGACACACACACAGACATAGACAGGTAGAGAGATAGAGAGATAGACACACAGACAGACAGAAAGATAGAGATGTCAGACTTTCCGAGTAACAATGTTTAGGCAAGTTCAACTACTTTTATCCATTTTCGCCATTCATTAGTAAACTTATTGAGATATTTTTCCCCTTTACCATTCTGAACATTGTAATATTCTTTAATCAAATTTACCAGTGCCATAACATTAAGTGAGCTATGCAAACATCTAGTTTTGTATATATAATGCTTAAAATAAAAATAATAATTTCATTGTCAATTCTATTATAAATTCCTGCTTGCTCGATACATCCAAAAATGATATTTAATTTATTTATTGAAAAGGGAATGGCAAGTGCATTTATTAGATTTTCAAAATTTGTCAAAAAGCTTTAAATTTCAGTGCACTCCCATAGGATATGAATAATTGTCTCCCTTTCCATAAAACATAAAACACACAAAGGGTTATTTATTAGTCCAATCTTAAATAAATATGAATTTGTTGTTAAAATGTAATGATTTATTCTAAATTCTAACCACTGTAACTTTGTGTTATTTGTTACCCTGAATGGAACAGCATATATTTTTTTCCATGTTTCCTTATCATAATCAAAAACAGATCCCCATTTATTTTGTCCTGTTACTGTGATATTATTTTGAATAAAAAATTTATAGAACTCCTTGGATCTTTTTTTTTTTTTAATATAACTTCAAGATTTAATGGTATGATTGGGGAACTCAGCATCTTGTTGGGTACATTGTGATTCTTCAGGTATTTCTTTATGCTCTTTATCACTCCTTGATACTGAAGATAATTTGTTATTGAACCATGAATAGTACAAAATTCATTGAAAGAGAAAAAGGAACAAGTTCTGATATCTTTTAACTAAATCATTGATAATCACAATCCCCTTATTGAACCAATTTCTATAGAAAATGTCATTATTACCAATAGTTATGTTTTTGTTATACCATATGGGTGTCTTAAATAAGGAATGATTCTCCTTTCTATATATTTCTACTTTAGTGCTTAGTCTATACAATGCCTTCAAAACATCCTACCAAAAAATAGTTTTACAATTAGTCCCAATAATCTTAACTAAATACTCTCTACCACAATTAGCTAAGACATTAAAGTTAACTTGGTTTTTTAAAATCATACGCCATTTTCCCTCCGACCAAAATATCTTTCTGATCCAACTGATTTTAAGAGATTCAATAAAACTCAATATGTTTACCATTTTAGCCCCCATCTAAATAATTCTGAATAATTACCTCACGCTTAACTTTGTCATTTTTACCATTCCATAAAAAATTGAAAAGAATTGAGTTTAGCTGCTTTATGAAACTTTGATCTGGATTTGGTAAGGAGATAAAAAGATGATTCATCTGTGAAACTAATAAAGACTTAATTATGTTAATTCTCCAAATAGGAGTAAGCTTTCTTTTACTCCATCCCATGATTAAAGATTTAAGTTTAACTAGTTTTTTTTATCAAAATGAATTTTAGGAATTCTGTGTAAATCTACATTAAATTCAATACCAAGAAGTGTAAACTTGTCAACCCCCATTGAAAGTTCATATCTGGAAGAAGTACATCACTTCTATACTTTTTGCTACCTATCCAAACAATTTGGGTTTTACCTTTATTTACTTTTAGACCAGACATTTTAGCATACAAATTTAGTTCCTCAACAGATCCCTTCAAATATTTTTCTGTTCCATCTAGTATTAAAGAAGTGTCGTCTGCATATTGAGAATTTAAAATCTGATAATCATCAATATTGATACCAGTAATATTTCTATTATTTCTTATCCGAATAGTCAATATCTCGGCACAAAGTATAAAAATGTAAGGTGCGATTGGATCGTCTTGGCGACAGCCCCGTTTTATATTAAAGAACGATGATAAGTAACCCCCCTGATTAATTACAGAACAAGGATTAGCG